GCTCTCAAAAGTGCGAACTTGTCTGCTTTCTCAATGAGGCCCACTTTCTGGCGCGGCGTTGGAGTTTTGTACTTCGGCATGTTCCATCCGCACTACAATCGTTGCCGAGAGAGTTCATCTCGGCCACGGCATAGCTCTGGTGCAGGCCACGATAACCCATGCTGTGAGCAGTGCCTCCACTCCAGAACAGTTCGTGAGAATGATCAGTCGTGGCTTCTGGGAGCGTGCAGCGCTGTTTGACAGGAGCGTCACCGGACAAGCCTGCAGGCGCATTCTAAAGGATGGGGCAGTGGGGAAGACGCCCCTCACCCCAGAAAAAGTTGATGCCGTCGTTGGTGAGTGGATTATTCACGTAAGTTACCCCGCCAAGGGTTTCCAACTAGGTTTGTACGTGCATAAACTACGCCCACGCTAGTATATGGGACTTTAGTAACACAATAAAATGTATTTGTTAACCAATTTGTGTTACTTATTTTATAATATGTAAAATAAACTCATGATTGAAGCTACTTTTTCTCTTTGTTGATTGTGCAGCCAGAACCAGCAGCGTTCGTAATTGTTGGAACATCTCTTTAAAATATGTGAATGACATGTGGATTTGCGGGTGCTTCAGCTGAAAGTGGGAGCAAAAACCACTCACCAAAAGGCATACACATTATTTCACGTCTACGTTTCCAGCCAGTCTTGTCTCTGGATGCCAATGCCGTCGGCAGGACGTCACCAAGCGCACGCGTTTGCCATCGACTGGCGCTCCGTTCGAAACACACTTTAATTTTCTTCTTCATGGTGCAGGGATCTTTTAAAAAAGGGCTTTATACGTGGGAATTTTAGCCCCTAAACTCCAGGCAATAAAAACTAAACACGCTGCAATTCTTTGGTTTTGCCAGTTGCCTACGGCTGCTACGAACAAACGCAGGAGGCCGGAGTCAAGAAAGACAAGGAGGAAGGCAAGAAAGACAAGGAGGACGGCGTCCTTGACGGCGAAAAGCCATGTGCCAAGAAAGGCAAAGAGCGGTTCGTCAGGGACATTGTCAAAAAGCTCTTAGGTGACTACTTCTTCGATAAGAACAGGGAAGAGGAGAGGGCCAAGAAGAAAACTATGAACGCCCACGGATCTCTGTTAGGAGTCCCCCCCCCCCTAAACGCCTGTCGCTTCCGCTATTTGTCCTGTTGTTTTTTCACTGCGATTTCATTTTGAAAGTTTTATTGTGTTTTTTTATTATGTATTTTTATTCACAAAGCTAGTTTTTCTCTACGAGTTAATAATTATTTTGCACAGTCTTGAATGTGTGTTCTCTTCAACGAGATAGAGGGCCTTGAGCAATAAACTGGCAGCTGAGATTGACCCGCGATTGGCTATCACCACGTTGCACATTTGTTACCAATAGACACGTCTAGATTTTAGTGAAGCACCGCGCACAGATAATGGAGTATTGATCTTTAATAACGGTACCGACGAGATAAGTTTTATTTCGTTTGTTTTAAGTCGAAAATGTGCTTTTACAAAACAAAACTTGGGCAGCTTCGCAATGCGTGCACCAGGTGCTGTCAGCCGTTGTGTTGTATTTTGGGTTTTTATCAAAGCTAGACACTGATCTCTGGGGCTAACAATATTAAAAAAATAGTTTATCATGCTTTCACAGCAATCGCAATAAAATCTCGGCTCAGGTTTTTGTAAAAGCCTCAGGATTTTGTATGGTCATGTGTCCAGTGGTCTAACAACATAGCGGCAGCCAAGCAGGGGTCAGTTTTTCCTGGTGAACGGAATACCAGTTTATCGCTTTAAGCCCCTCTGTATAGCTAGTTGGTACTCTTCTAGATATTTGTGGTTTTGCCTTATTTTGTTGATTTTTTTAGAAGATTTTGTGTCTGCAAGGTTCGCACGGGTCCTTTCGAATATCAGCACCTCTTCGGCAAATACGCCTTTTGCTAGGTATGGTACAATAAAGAATTTTTGCAGTGCATTTTAAAAAAAAGTTTTTATATTACAAATTTACTAGATGAATATTGTAATATATCTTTACAGGCCCCTAAAAGTTCTTAAAATCCTTGAATTTTTTTAAAGCCTGTACGCACCCGGGTGTGAAATGTTTGAGTTTTGAGGAACCTTAAAAGTATTCCCTAAATTGTTTTACGAAATTTTAAATGTATCATTCCTCAGATTTTATGCGATTGTGTGTTTTCATAATATATATATGAAACCTCTCGTTTTTTCACAATTTCCTGTGTTGCGTCGTACCTCATTATTTCCGGTGATATTGGTGAGTAACCAACACTATGTTCTGTTTTACTTCTGATGTAGAGCAGCAGATGCTATGAGCCATTGCTATCAACCAAGGGCAGTGAATATTTTGCATGGCTCAATGCATTCCGTGCCGCTGGGTCTTGCCAGAGAGTCAGATGACATGCTCTCAAGCACTGGACTGACTAGAAAGACTCTTAGCATCAGCTTCAGTACACCAGAAGGTGAAAGTTAGCATTACCTCTGTATTAATCTAACTCCTTTTTTGTTCGTAGTGCCCCGGTGCGGCATAACCTCCGGTTAAATTATCCGTATTGGAAACACCCGATTTAGCTTACGATTTGAACAAGTACGGTTAGGCCTCCGAATGGTTGTCTCCAGTTTAGTTCCCGTTTTCATATGACGGTCCGAAACTCAGGATACGTTTCTGTTTAATTTCAAACCGCTACTTTTTGTAGGGAAGCGCAATAAATTTTGCTGAACCTGTACTAAAAATTTCGTTCTGAGTATCTGAGCGAGTTGCACAGAGCGATCGTTCAAAAAAGGCATGAGCTGTGTTGAATAAGGAGGAAAAGTGCCACTGGGAGCATGTCTGGTGTGGCCAGCAAAAGTACGTTTGTTGTTGACTTCCCTTTTTTGTCGTTGCAAAAATGACAAACGGATTCGTTCTGCTACGCGTGGATTGTCAGTAACTGCCGAACAGCGTTCCGTAGTGTACTGTCAGTAGTCGTCATTGGAATTTTTAAATTTAAGCATAAACCCATCTCGCGAGGGCGTTGGGTTGGAGTTCACGTTTCATTCTCCACCTACACCTGATTTGTTGCTCGGCGGGAAAGTCTCTAATTTTCTGTGTGGCAAAAGAAATGAGCACAAGAGTTTAGGAAGAGCCTGCTTCCGCTCGGCGTGCAAGGCGTCTGTGATAAGATAGCGTACTATGCCATCCCACCAATCCCACTCACAAAATTAAAACCGCACAGATGCGCGTCCACCACGGCACGTCGAGAAGTTCCAGCAATAAGCTCCAAAGATACTTGAATTTGTGCAGTAAATCGAGTGAATTATTTCACATTTGAGTTTTCTCGAACACAGCAGACAAAAACATTTCACTTGCACCGCGTCTATGCCGGATCTCCAGCCACCGCCATTTCAACTCGCGCACTTACACACGCCCTAGGAGTGAGTGGACGTAACTTTTAAACTGCTGCTTGATTGGCTGAGGAGGCCCCTAGCCTTCCGCTGCGGTTCAACGTAGGATAAACGAAGTATAGTTACGCTTTGGCAAAACACGGCTTCGCAATCGCGAGGCGTGAAGGCGCAGATCACGCCGAAACTAAGCGGCGGACACCGTTTTGAAGGGCAGCAAAAAGAAGGGAAAATACCAACTCCGCTTCAAAAGGAGACCAAGATGGTTTCCGTCCGCCAATTAGAACAGGAGTGGCCTAAAGGTCCGTTTCGATTTTGCCGCTTAGGTACCATCAAAAGCCGCCAAAAGCTCGTGAAAATATTTATTCATTTATTTTAGAAAATTGGGTGCTCATACTAACATCTGAGACAGTCTATGTAACTAAAACCCCCAAAAAGGTGAGTAATTTTTTTTCTCAAATTAATGTGATACATTTTTCACTAAGTTTTGGGCATTTCGTTAGCACAGAACTGAAGCCTGGATAAATGCGTTGGATCAAGGCTCGACACTGATTGGTTGACAGGTGGAAGAGGAGGAGTGCAGTGCTCGACCCTGATTGGTAAGCAGAGAAATTACGTGACCAGAGGGGTAGGCGAGGTTGTGTGAGGCAGTTGAGGAGCAGCTCGACCGCCTGTGCGGATTGACGGAGAGGAGCTCGAGATATTGGAAGGTAATTGAAGATTGCCAGGCTTATCTGCCTGCCCGATGAGCGCTAGTATCGCTTCATTCTAGGAATTATCAAGTGTACTATGGTACGTGCTCACTTATCTGATGAAGAGCACCGTGAACGCAGGAGGCTGGCGTCGGGAAACTCAGACTCGCTAAATGCCTGTGACTCTAAAATGTTTCACGTATTCAACATAAATACCTAGAAATTTGCCATAATTTTTAGGCCCCTGTTTTTTCGAAAAAGTGTAATAAGTAGAAAATGTATCAGAAAGTGCTTGTATCATGCAAGTAACGCACGCGCTGCATGTAAACCGCGATGTCATATCTCGTTAACAGGTAAACTGTTGACAAGTGTTGCGCTGCCGCGCAGCCGCGTCGTACTATATAACTAATCGCTTTCTGAATAAACGTTGTTGTCTTGACGCATCACGGCTGATGCATGCTATCACAAGTGGGATGCCGTCCACGTTGGCGATAGCTCGAAGTAACGACGTCAGTCACCGTAGCTATGGAACTACTCAAGCCACCGGAGCTACTGCTGCTCTCTGTGAACATTCCAAAAAACTGGGACCTGTTCAAGCAGAAATTCGAGCTCTTTCTGAGGGCAACGGAGCCAGCCAAAAAACTAAGGTCGGCAACTGTCAAGACCGCTCTCCTGCTGAGTGTAGCCGAGGATGACGCTTTGAAGGTATTCAACAATTTTGTGTTTGCCGCAAACGAGAATAAGGAGGATTACGCGACGGTCGCGCTCAAGTTTGAGGAGTACTGTAGACAACAGCAGAATGAGGTCTACGAGAGGTACATCTTTCGAACAAGAACGCAAGTTGAAGCAGAACCCTCGAACATTGTTTGCGTGAATTGAGGAAACAAGCACGCGGCTGTAACTTCGCGCAGTTGACCGACACAATGATTCGGGATCAGGTTGTGTTCGGTACAAACAATTCAAAGTTATGGGAAAAAATGCTCAAAGAAAAAGATATAACGCTGCTCAAGGCTGAACAGATCTATAAAGCAGCGGAAGTATCCGCCCAGCAGAACGAAGTGTGGGCGCAGGCGGAAAAACAAATGGCGCTGGTGAAAAAGAAGCAACAGTACAAATGTGCCAAGTGCAACCGGCCGCTCGAGCCAGGACGGTGTCCGGCATTTGGAAGGTCATGCTTCTTGTGCACAGGTACTGACCATTTTGCGGCTTGCTGCAAGAAAGGTCCGCAAGTCAAGGTCCACCTTAAGATAGACAGCGTCGGCAACCATGCAGACTGGATCATCCACGCAAAGGTGGCGGACCAGCCAGTCGTCTTGAAGGTGGACACGGGCTCCCAAGCTAACCTGCTGCCTTACTCGATCTATCGGAGGTGCACGGAGAAGGCGAACTTGAAACCAAGCGCCTCTGTGCTTCGATCATACAGCGGGGACGCCATCAAGCACATCGGGGTTGCAACTCTACGAGTGGTCATTTACAATCGGTCCGGCGACATCGAATTCTTCATTGTCAAAAAAGGCAGCCAGGCACTACTCGGACTGCTAGCAAGTGAGGCGCTGGGACTTGTGTCGCGCTCGGTGAGTGTTGTGAACACCAGCAATATCGAGAAAATAGTGACAGAATTCCGCCCTCTGTTTCAGGGTACCGGCTGCCTGGCACGTCAGTATCGGATGGTCCTGCGAGATGACGCAACACCGGTAGTTCAACCGGCACGACGAGTACCTCTGGCGCTGCGAGAGCCTCTTCGAGAGGAGCTGGAGCGTATGGAACGAGCTGACATCATCCGCAAAGTCAATGGGCCAACGGACTGGGTAAGTACATTGGTCATTGTACGGACAAAAGACGGAAAACTACGCGTGTGTATGGGCCCCAGGCGCATTTTACGAGTGTCTAAAGCTCGAGCACTATCAGATACCTAAGCGGGAAGACATTGAGGCCGAACTAGCAGGAGCTAAATATTTTTAAGCCTCGACGCGAACTCTGGGTTTCACCGAATTCCCTTGGATGAGGATACCTCGGCTATTTGCACGTTCGGTACGCCTTTTGGTCGCTACCAGTTTTTGAGACTTCCATACGGGATTGCGTCGGAACCCGAGGTGTTCTAAAAAACTCCAAGCGAGATATTCGATCCGTCCCCAGGGGTCCGCGTATACATTGACGATATTTTGATCTGGGGATCCACTAAAGAAGAGCACGATTCACGCCTCAAAAACGCACTGCAGTTAGCCAGTCGGACGGGTTTGACATTCAACGCCGCGAAATGCAAGTTTGGGCTAACTGAGATCGAATTTCTCGGTGACGTCACAAGCCAAGAAGGAATAAGGCCGAGCTCGGCATTGATCACGTCACTGGGGGAGATGTCATGCCCTACAGAAAAGACAGCGGTGCATAGAATGCTCGGAGTCGCAAATTACTTTGGGAAGTACCTACCGAACTTGGCAGGAAAAACAGAACTTCTGCGTAGTCTTTAAAAAAAAAAAAAAAGAAACAGTTTTTGAATGGAAAGACAACCACGCCAAAGAATGGAAAGATATCTGCCTAATGCTTACCAGCACGCCCGTGTTTGCTATTTTTGATCCAACCAGAGATACGAAGATCTTGTCAGACGCATCAAGGAATGGATTAGGGTCTGCACTTCTGCAGCGTCATGGTGACAGGTGGCGGCCGGTCACCTACGCATCACGCGTTATGACTGACGCAGAACAGTGGTTCTCGCAAATAGAAAAGGAAACGATGGGCATCACGTTCGGCTGCAAGAAGTTTCATCACTGCGTGTACGAGCGTAAGATCGCGTTTGAAACCGATCACCATTCACTGTTAGCAATCGCCTCAAAAGGAATCGGTGATATGCCGCCGAGACTTCAGCGTTTCTTTCTGCGTTTACTGATGCACGATTATACCCTTCAATTCGTACCATAAAAACTGCTACTGCTGGCCGACATGCTATCAAGGTCGTCACCAGTTACCACAAAGGACACCGCCGGCTCAACGGAAGACGGGGAAGTTTACGCAGTGAGCGACCTCTCAGACTTGGTAAGCAAGAAAACCCTAGATCGCCTTGCTGAGGCGACCGCGAAGGACGCAGACCTGCAGTCAGTCATTTGTTACATGAACGCAAGGGTGACATTGACGGCAGGCTGAAACCTTTTGTGTCCGAGTTGTCCCTGGTTCAAGGAATAGTATTTAAGGGTAGCAAAGCTGTGGTCCCGAAGTCCATTAGACCGGAGATGCTCCAACGTATTCATGAAGGTCATTTGGGAATTAAAAAGTGCAAATCAAGAGCCCGACGATTGCTGTTTTGCCCAGGACTCATGTGTGACATTGACGGCAGGCTGAAACCTTTTGTGTCCGAGTTGTCACTGGTTCAAGGAATAGTATTGAAGGGTAGCAAAGTTGTGGTCCCGAAGTCCATTAGACCGGAGATGCTCCAACGTATTCATGAAGGTCATTTGGGAATTAACAACCGCAAATCAAGAGTCCGACGTTTGCTGTTTTGGCCAGGACTCAACTCGGACATCGAGACTCTGCTACAAGGGTGCTCAGCATGCCAAATGTGTACGTACAAGCAGCAAAGTGAACCCCTCATATTAAGGCCAGCATCGAATCATGCGTAGTAGAGAGTGGGTGTTGATCTTTTCCAGCATGGCGGAAGTTCGTGTATTTGTGTATTTGACGCGCAATCGAACTTTCCGGAAGTAGAAAAGCTGACGGGAACCACGACATGCTCTGTTATTGCAAAGTTGAGCTCTATTTTTTGAAGATACGGTATTCCCCTAGAGGTCTGCAGCTATAACGGGCCCCAGTTTTCGTCTCATGAGTCTGATGTTTTACATCGAGATATGACTTAAAGCATGTTACATCGAGCCCGAGGTTTCCCAAGTCAAACGGACTCGCCGAGAAAGGGGTGCAAATTGTCAAGCGGATCTTGAACAAAACTGAAGAGGCCCATGAAGACTTCTGGATGGGGCTACTGGGCTATCGATCTGCTCCCCCTGGAGGATGGTCGATCACCAGGAGAGCTGTTACAAGGCAGGAGACTACGCAGTCGAATCCCCGACTTCAGCCATCAACCCAGCAGGCTTGTTTTTAGAAACCGGCAGCTCGACACCCGAGGCAAGAACCTACCCGACCTCAAGAAAGGCGAAATCGTGAAGTTGAGAGACAAAGACAAAGCATGGACTCGTAGAGCTCTGGTCTTGGTATCAGCCGCGCCAAGATCATATCGGGTGGTCACCAAAGACAACAAGCTGCTGCGACGCAACCGGCAAAATTTTCTTCCAACACGTGAGCCGCTTCAACAAGAAACTGCTTAAAGTGACGACTCGGACAGCGGGGATTCAACCGAGGAACTGAGAGCGACACCGGCCTCCTTGTGGACAAGACCGCCTATGCCGGGTTTGCACGACCACCCCCTGACGCCGGTCCCAAGACGATCCAGAAGGCACACCCGTCAATCAGAGCGCCTGCAATACGACAGCAATTTCAACCAAGTGCATCCCATCTATCGTTGGAACTCCTAATGTTATTTATGAAACAAAGGAAAATGTATCGTGCAAGTCACGCACGCGCTGCACGTAAACCGCGATGTCATATCTCGTTAACAGATACACTGATTAGACGTGCTGCGCTGCCGCGCAGCCGCGTCGTACTATATAACTAATCACTTCCTGAATAAACGTTGTTGTTGGCTTGACACATCACGACTGATACAGTTCTAATTTGCTTTTATCGTTCAAACCACAAAAACGTCGAATCACTTGTACGAAATCGATATACTGCGTATGCACTTTATCATCCGCATTTAGATATCATGTTTTTTAACTCTAAGTTGGTGTGCTTTGGACACTAGGACAAACTTAGGTGGCCTGATTTGCACAACAATACTGTGCTGTGTAGTGCACACAAAAACACACTAAGCTGGTTTGAGTGGAAAATTTGGATACTGTCTGCACGGAATGAAACCCGAACGCCGGATCGTGTGGCCATCGACACAGGCTGCTCCACCTGGAGGGCCCATGAGCACTAATGAAAGTACGCCGGGGTGCGACGCTGCAGGTCCTACAAAGACGAGCTCGACCCTCGCGTGGCGTGTGTGGGACTCTCGCGTTTCGCCGCCGGCGCGCTGTAAGCGCCGTCAAATCCGATACACAAAACGCCGTCACTCGCTTTGTGTATCGGATGCCCGGTGATATCTCTTCAGCGCTGTCATTAATATTCGCTCTGTGTATCGCAAGGGCGAAATGAATGTTGAACCATTTCGTGCAGAGAAGACCCGTAGTGGCTGATGACCTGTCACCGGAACTGCGCTGGGGCTCCGGTGAACAGCGTGCCACACACGGTTTCCGAGAAATAGGGAAACGTCATAGACGTGAAATGGCATGACCATACTCTTATAAAAAAAATGTTGCAGCTGACCGACGCGAATGCCTTGGTTTTTATATACGCTGCGCATGTTCTCTTGCGAGAGTATCAGTCGATTCTTATAAAAAGAGAGGAATTGCTCGCTGACGGCTTCTTTCGTAACCACCGATATGCCAGGCGTATTAATTTCGGAGCGGAATAAATGAATCGACCTGTCTGAGCAGGGACTATCGCGAAGAGCTATAGCCTGGTTAAGTGGCCACCCGGTTTCAGCCGGGCGGCAGTGTGGCGACACAGAAGAACCCCGAGTGACGGCGCTTACAACGCGCCACCGACAAAACCCGGAATTCCCAGACGCACCACGCGAGGGTCCAGCACTTTTTAGTAGGACCACCACCCTCGCACCCCGCGCATTTTCATTAGTTCTCAGAGGCCCCCCAGGTGGAGCAGCCTGTGTCGATGGCCATGCGTTCCGCGTTTGGGTTTCATTCCGTGCTGACTCTACATTAGCTTGTGTGATGTGCGCACTAACACACTAAGCCGCTTCGATGTGCACATCAGGATACCTTGCTAGTGCGGTGGACACACCAAAACACACTAAGCCGCTATGATGGGCTCACCAGGATACATTTTTCTCTGTGGGGTGCAACCAGAACACATTAGGCCACTATGATGTGCACGTCAGTAGACACTAGGCTGGCTGGTTGTGCACACCAAAACACACTAAGCCGTTCTGGTGTGCACATAAGACACATTAAGTGGGTCTTATGTTAAACACTAAAATGCACAGGTGGGTCTGATGTAAACACTAGAACACAGTAACTGAGACTGATGTGTAAACCAAAACTCAATAGGTGGGTTCGATGGGCAGACGAAAAACATTAGGTGGGTCTGATGCGCACGCCAACGCGCATTAGGTGACTCTGATTAGCACACCAAAATACATTATTTGTGCCTGATGTGCACACAAAAACACATTGTGAAGGTCTCGTGTGCACACCAAACATAGAAGTCATCGTTGTCCGTGTCCCCTTCTATGTGTCTTCGTCATGTTTAATTACTGTTATCAACACACTCGTTTTGTACTTCATTAGGTGAGTCTGGTGTTCACACCAGGACACATTCAGATAGCCTGGTGTTTACACGAGGAAACATCAAAACACGCCCGGCACGGTCTGGTGGATTTTTGAATAGGGATATCGCGGAGGCAAAAAGAACGGAAATGGTTTTAGGGGAGCGGACACACTGTGGCTAGTGAGGCCGACTAACTGCGGCATTAGCGCCCAAGACTGGCGTGCTTTTCTGTTGTTTTTTGTCGAAAAGCTCAGGGAGATTCGACGCATTTGAAGTCTTGCCTACTGCAGGACGCGTACAGCTGCATGTTAACTCAAAAGAGTAAACAAAATGCAGCATGCGCTCTTAAGCTTATATGGTGCTCCTGTAG